CAGTTGCGGGAGAAAGATCGTTCAATCTGAGTGTGGTCTGAGTGGCGGGAGTACCAGTCTGGTTCCGCTGTTTCGTGTACGTTGCGGCTAGAAGATCCTTGCGCGCGCGTATTGCTAATGATAAACCAAGTGTGCCCGCGCCTCTGGTGAAAAGTCAGTCCAGTGAGCTTCACCCATGAAGGCAACTGGCTGCTTCTTAAACTGAATAAGTAGGCCAGCTGGCCTGGAGCTGCAGCACGAGTATTCGATAGCCTTTACAAGGCAAATGACAACCATGCAGCTGGTTGTTTTTACAAGTCAGCTGATTGGCTGCTTCACAGCCTATAGGAGCAGGACCAACGCCTCAGATGTTCAACCGAGGCTCTCGTATCAGCACAATACCAGAACCCGTGCATATGCATCAGCTAAGCACAATACCAGAACCCGTGCATATGCATCAGCTTAACTGAATGTCCGGTTTGCTTAATACTGCGCATGATCGCAAACCTTTCAAATGACGCGTAGCACACTAACTTAAATACCACCATCTAAGTTCCCACGTATGATCGACTACAGCAAAAACAGCGCATATCTGCCAGTAGCTGGAGTCCACCCGGCTCAGCAAAAACTTTTACAGGCGGCAAAACCGGCGCTCACGCGTGCAAACAAACCCCACTGTCCACGCTGCAAACACCTACCGCTGCTGCCAGCCTGCCACACCAGGCCGACACAATCCGGGAGCACGCCGTGGGGCTCTCTAGGCAGAGACGACCTGACAAGGAGTGCCTCCTGCGCAACTACCAGCGTCTAGGGATATCAGGCCTCGTCTACAGTGAGACTCGATGCTATCAACCCGCAAGCTTAAAACTTGCGCTTCAAGGCCAGATCCGTGCGATTACGCTGCCACCGGTGGCTTACGCTATCGTCGATTGCGAATTACGCTCGGACCATTTCGCCGCGATCCACAGCGGAAACGACCCGGTCGATACCTCAGAGCCGGGGATCTTATCAGGGTGCTCAAAAATGATTTTCCGGACGACATCGGCTGAGAACGATCTCCTCCGCCGACCACACCCATAACCGACGCGATTTAACGTCGTCTGCGAGGAAGAGCAGGTTAGGACTCTAACACTCATCGTCTACCGGCGCTGAGCTTCCTCTGGGAGCCGTCAACGGCGGAACGGTAGCCGAAGCGTAGAGGGTTTATGAGGCGGGCCCGGCTGGCGGGTCCAGTTTTCATGGCGCCGCCCCACGCAGCATACCAATGGTCGGACTGCCGGCGGCGGCGGCGTGTCCGCGCCAGGCGGACCGGCCGGCTCGCAGGCACGGCAGCAGCACGAGCGTCCGGGCCCAGCTGAGCGGCCGCCGAGCTCACTGGCACCGTCAGAGAAGCAGCACCACTCACAGGGACCGGCAGAGGAGCAGTATCGCGCACTAGAACTGTCAGAGGAGCGGCGCTGCTCGCAGGAACTGACAGCAACGGGCTCAGCTGAGCGGGCCGCCGAACTCACTGGCACCGCCAGAGAAGCAGCACCGCTCACAGAAACCGACAGAGCAGCAGCGTCGCGCACTAGAACTGACAGCGGAGAGGCGCCGCTCGCTGGAACTGACGGAGGAGCAGCACTACCCACTGGGACAGTCAGAGTGGCAGCACTGGAGCGCTGCGTCGCTGTAGGAACCCAGTGTTCTCCCGCGAGATAACATGCCAATCTTACTAACGCCGTGGAGGGAGTAGTATTAAACCTTAATGCAGAGGAAAAATAACCCCCTTCGAGAGTTGCTGGAGCGCAGTTGTGATCGAGAGCCTTGCTAAGCGCGGATATCATCCGCATACGGGTGTCCAGTATAAGGCAACATGCTCCGCTGCATTACGTTGACTGCTGGAATGGCGACTGATGAACAGGTAGGCATGTTTGGGACAGCATCTTCCTCGCTCACTCTCTCTAGGCTTTGTCGCTGTCACCTCGCGCGAGTGCCGCGCTCTCAATCCATTGGACAAACATCGCTTTGAAGCACTTGTCTGCTTCAGACAGGCTCAACCCAGTACTAGGCTGAAATGACCGGCTCCGAGAGCCTAAGGCAAGGCTTACCAAGAAAAATCCTTTTACGCGAGCTGCTCAGTGCATTTGCGAGGAACATTACGCATACAGATAAGGCAGTAATAATGGCCTTATCTCTAGTAGAAAAACCAGGAGCACCATCGCCCACTGGAACTGAGACTGAGAGAGTGAGACTGAGACGTTCACTGGAATCAAGAGAGCATCAGAACCGTCCGCATCGCCTGCCCATCACTTTTACGTTCGTGGTCCTGCCGCTCCATTCTCCTGGTTTCTCGGCGAGAAACAAGGCTATTACTGCTGTCTTACCTGCGAACATCCTTTTGCTTGAGTAATTTCTGTCGTGGAAACGAAATTCCGATTGGAGTACACAGAGACGTCACTTACCGCCCACTGCCACGAGCAAAACAAGGTCGGATCACTGCATCGAGAGGGCTGAGCTGCCACGCACCACCTGCTAGGTGCTCAGCACATCTCTCGGGACCGGGGCGCCGGCGGCTTAGAGCATTTGAGCAATACAAGCGGGGGAGGGCATCTGATTCGTCGAGGGTGGATTAGCCTGCGGCACCGACGTCAACAGGTGATCAGCGGCAGTTTGAGACTCGGCTGACGCGGACAATAGCCTAACCAACTCCGCGGAGACCGCATGTGATTTATCACGACCATTAAAGCATGCCGCTGCTGCTCATGGTATGGCCGCCTTGCTGACGCCGAGAGATGAGCTACTCTGTGTGATTTACGCTGCCTGCTGGCGCCAGGAAATAAGCTGCTCTGTGCGCTTTACGCTGCTAGCTGGCGCCGGGAGATGAGCTACTCTCTGTGCTTTACGCTGCTTGCTGACGCCGGGAGATGAGCTATTCTGTGTGCTTTGCGCTGTGGAAGCACGAATGAAAAGCGGCGAATGGTTCCTGGAAACTATCCAGAGTACCACAGAGAGCCAAGATGAAAAAACCCCTTCAACCCTTGCGCCAGATATCACCAGGCGATACCAAGTGGTCTGTTTGCCTCGTCGTCGTTTAGCCGAGCCGAGCCGAGTCGAGCAGCCACGTCGAGCCGGGTCCAGGCCGACCTACGATCACAACTGAGCCATAACTGAGCCATAACAGCCCGAGCAAGCCGAGGCGAGCCCTGCGGAGGCGGACCAACGAGCCTGGCTGAGCCCGACCCAGCCCGGGCAAGCCGAGGCGAGCCATACGGAGGCGGACCAACGAGCCTGGCTGAGCCGGACCCAGACTATCGAAACCGAGGGGCTTCACCGGCCGCTGACTGGAGAGGGGGGGGGGGGGGGAGGCGGCTAAGCGGCGCCGGCTGTGCAACGGTCGTCAACGCCGCCGTTCGATTGCCCGGCGGCCAGCGCCAACGTCGAAGCTGACGGCACCGACCGGGCCGCCGACGTCAGCGTTTGCTCCAGGGAGCGCCGGGAGCCGGCCGACGCGACCTCTGCTGCCGCCGATAGAAGCGCGTGGCCGTCCGGCGAGAGCGGCACGCAGGAGCTCCAGGTGGGTGCAACGCCGGTGGGGACGGCCGCAGCCGCCAGGCCTGACCAGCTGAGGTTACACGACGACGTGTCACCGCATGTCGTGGTGACGTGTATTACGGGGCTAGTCCGCGGGTCTTTTAAATCGATGTCGTTGTTTTAACTATCCGTGACTGTATCTGACGCAGGAAATACAACTTGCTGATGACTGTCCAATAAACTAGACAAAAACTTGAACGGTCCTCCCAACTGATAAAGGAAGCGAGCTGTTGGTTGCTATATATGTGCGCCTAATGGTGGCACAACAATATCAGGTTGACAGGCAGATAAGAATGAACCATGACACCCAAATGCCCCACGCCTAGTTAAGTAAACAGCATTATCATCATGACTTTGGGGACGCGGGCTGCGCTGGGCCGCTGACGACGGCGGCGGCTGTCCGTGGCGTCTGGATGGGCCAGCGCGCTGCGCCCGGCGGGCGGCGCTCGGCTATCTCCAAGATGTGGCGCACTTGGAGAAGTCAATCCCCGTGATATGGCACCATCCGTTCCCGCGGGGCCTCCGAGACGCCGAGAATCGGCTGAGCGGTGGGCGGAAAGCCGGCTTAAGCGAGCCGCTCGGGGCGACGTTGGGCGGAGCGAACGGGTCGCGTCCGAGAGCGGCCCACTCCACCGAGCGAGAGCGGCGTAGACATCTGGCAGTGGCGCCCAGCTCCCGAACATCTGGCAGTGGCGCCCAGCTCCCGAACATCTGGCAGTGGCGCCCAGCTTCCGAACATCTGGCAGTGGCGCCCAGCTTCCGAGCGCCGGCTCATCGCCAGCCGGTCCTCAGAGAGTCGCCAGCAGATGAGAGCGCTGGCTACGCCCGCCTACAGGTGGCGCACGCATCCAAGCACTACTTTACTAAAGTCCTCGGGATTTGGAGTCGGCCCTGCTATGAGGAAGCGTGCATCATCAAGCGTCTTGCGCGGCGGGCCGACCAGCCGCTATTGAGCGGGCCGTCCGTCACCTGGCGGACGACGATGCCGGGGCGCCATGGCGACCGGGCACCGGACCGGACGTCGCAATCAACAGGGATCAAATCGCTGAAGACGATCTGGGCGGTCAGATCACCAGCTTGATGTAGTCGTCGGCTGGGTGATCTACCGCTCAGGCTGCTTGACGTCCAGGTTAAACCCAGAGCCTGAGGCGGCGGCCGTTCACGTCCGGAGGTAAAACCTCCTACGCGACATGACGCGAGCAAAAGGAAAGCATGGATGTCGCATTTAAAAACTTATGGCGCAGGGCGGCGAATGCCCTCCAGGCCAGGACGAAAGCGGGGGTTTATGGACCCACATCTCAAACGTCCATCGCCGAGACGACCGCGCCGACCAATACCGGAACAAACGTCATTTGGACTTAGAGCGGAGCTTGGACTCGGCCCGAACTTCGCGCCGACACGGGAGTCCCATCACACTTGTAAACGAAGTCCAAACTGCGGAAATATCACCGAGCCGTCACTTGTTAAAGCGACACGGACGGATCACCAGCAATCACGCGGAGTATGTCGCGCTCGGAATGGGGTCGCGCCTCATCAGCAATCAGCTAAATGTGTCGTGCAAAGTGCACAGAGGCTTTATTCAGTGAACTATGCAATCCCTGGGCTGTACTACAGATACCCGATGGCATTAATGTAATGAATGCAATCATAGTCGGAATCAAATGGCACTGGATCTATCCACAGACATAATCGTCATCAGTGCACTCCGTTTTACTCTGGTGTTCGCTCTCGGTGCTGGATCTGCTGGCACCTGGCGATGCATAATTTCAGAGCGATGGTAGCAGCCATCTGGCTAAGTTACTCCCCGTAAGTGCATTTAGGACTGAGCCCATAAGAAATTAATAGTCAATAATGCACACGCACACTTACCTGATCAATATCGCACCCCGTGGCACGTAAAATCAATATCGGGCTTAGAGCACCATTGGCTGCCACGATTTTCCATCCTCTCCAACATTTCAGGATGTTTCACGCGGGATGGCCGACCGCCCAACTTTCCCACTCAACCAAAGTCCAGTATATCAGCCCCAACAAGTTTCATCTGGCCCATGACCGCAAGTTACGATTACCAACTTACCAGTAGAGTGAGCTGGAAACATTGGCTCAAGCTGCCATGGCCGTACAGAGTTTCCCGGACGCAACCCCCACATCGGTCCCCATGCAATCCACTTAAGGCTTCAAAGTTCGGGTAATGAGGGCCTGGAGCAACGCCTCCCAGGGGGACCACCTCGAAGTGGAGCCGTCCGCCCGTGAACGCGAAGATCACCGATCGGAAGTCGCACCGTACTCACCCGTCGCTAGCGATACTCGAGTTGCGCGACATTGTCTTGGGCGACATCTCGAAGTCTGAGTCGGACTTGTAGATGAACGACTCCCGGCGCTGTGGCAGGCTTTGGAGCACCAGGCCGGTGGAGGGCGAGCCGTCCGCGCGCCCCTGGACGCCGCCATTTTCAACGTCGAAACTGAAACGAGACGGCTCTAGTTAGCAGCGCAGCGCGGGTCCGCGGGTCAGGGGTCATCGGTCATGTGGCATGTGTGACGGGTCACAGGTCATGGGTCACGGGTTACGGGCCACGGGTCACGGACCATGGGTCACGAGCCTAGGGTCTCGGGTTATGGGCCATGTGTTATGGGTCATGGGTCACGGGTTACGGGTCCCGGGTCAAAGATCACAGGTCACAGTCTACGGCCGACAGGTCATAAGACACACGACGCCGGTCGCAGTCTGCCGGTCACCAGCTGGCACAAGATTGATGACACGGCGGAATGGCTAGCCAACGGTGAGACCACCCGGTGCCGGCGCCAATAACATCGGCCGACCTGTCGGGCACGCAGTCAGAAAGCGCCTGCAATTTTACCCTGGTGGAGCCGCGCCGGCTGGGCCCTTCCGAGGACCAATACTTAGGCGTTTACGGTGGTGCACCAGTCCGCCATCCTGCACATAGAGGCCGGCCGACTGGCAGGAAATATATATATATATATATATATATATATATATATATATATATATATATATACATCCTAAGCCTCAGCTAATATTACAAACTGGGTTTGCGAATACTCGAAGCTCACATGCCACTTTTTACCGAAGAGCCACATTCCTGTCTCCTGACCTGACACCATCTCCCGGCCCCGATCTCTGTGCGGGCTGACCCCGGCCTAGGTCACGTCGCACTGAGCTCACCCGGCCCCACCAATCATACGAACCCAACCGCCACGCATTCGCGTGACGGTTGGGTTTCATCCAATCAGAAGCCTGCTTTGGTCGCTCCGAGCCAACTCGCGGGACGAGGCAGCGACGGGCTCCCGTTAACTCAACCCTACACGATTACAATATTAACATCTAACGATATAATCATAAGCGAATCATTAAAGCCACGAACAGGAAGAATACAAATAAGTAGTAGGTACTTATCAGTCATGTAAGAATATTGACTATAATCTCGTGAAAACGATTTGAGAATTATACTTGAACCGTGTGACTTGTCGCATGCCTGTGTCAATGCCAGAAGTCGCAAACACTGGCAACTAAGCGCAAAAGAAACTAAGCCAGCTTGAAATCGCAAAGCCAACACGAGCCGCAGAGCTCCACCGGGAACCACGCCTGGGAGTGGGCTCAGCAATCGGCCGGATTCTGAGGGACTCCGCGGCGATCGGCCAGATTCTGAGGGACTCTGCAGCAGTCGACCGGATTCTGAGGGACCTCCGCGGCAGTCGGCCGGATTCTGAGGGACTCCGCGGCAGTCGGGCCGGATTCTGAGGGACTCCGCGGCAGTCGGCCGGATTCTGAGGGACTCCGCGACAGTCGGCCGGATTCTGAGGGACTCTTCGGCGAAGCGGTGCCGACGTCCGGGCAATGCCGAACCACCCTCGCTGTCGCTCAAGCGCTCTCGGCATTGATCCAGTTCCGGTTGCCGACCCGTGATACTTTGCCTCTCATCCTGGGGTGTGCGCGGGCCCTGCGCGTGAGGCACACAGGAATACAGTAACGCCTGAAGGCAGCCGCGCGATACGCGCGCGCAGTCAGCCTGCTACCTGTACAAGGTTTGTGTTACGTTTCTATGACGACGGCATGCCTACGTCACAGGCGAGGGATATAGGTCCGGTGGGTATTGGACGCTACATTAGGTCTGGAAGCCAGTCGGATGCCAGGAATGCCGAGGCCATCGATGTTTAGATTGCGTGCCCAAAGCCAGAGATTGACTAGGGGATGGAGGCGAAGGAAGTGGCGGCCAAGAACCGAGATCAAAGGTATGTATAGAATAGTGGATATAAGGACAAACCAACACTGGGTGCAGAAACACACCATACACCTAAAGACGCGGGTACGTTTATTGAGCTGCAAAAGACATAAGCTTCAGGCCATGCTCTCGTCATCATTCCACCACAGCTCTGGTAAAGAGCGTATATTTACGTGCCATTATTTGGTGTCCGGCTATTTTATAAAGGCCCGGTAATACCAGCTGATTTTATCAACGTCCTAACGAGTTCAACGACGAAAATGTTCTTGTAAATAGGTGCCGAAAGGTTCTCTCAGGTTTTTTTGGTGCAAATTTTATGCCGTTTCACACACTCGGTCCCGGAGACCTTTACTAACCATCCTTTCTTAACATACCCTTAAAATATTCCCAACATAATCTAGCCAATGGCGGTTCGTCACAAGGAATTTAACTGCGGAAACTCCTGGAATTCAAAAACCGGTAATCCGCGTGAAATGCATCACATACTTCGAGGCACAAAGTTTTGTCCCTTGGGATGACACGGTCGAGTGATGAATGGTGGCACATATGGATTAGCCGGTGAGCAAAAAAGGCGGCATAATATGACAGTCTGCATATTGTACTGGCGACAAAACCACTCCGCAGTAACCACGAGTACTGACGAGTAACCACTAAAAATGCCCTTAACGTTGTCTTTTCAAAGAAAAGGACAATAATTGTTGAAATAATACTCAGGACACACAACATACAATTCGGCATTCGGCTCGACTGCGCCAGACGAAAGCAAACGCGTTCCCACCACATCGCAAGCCTAAGGTTGCGCCCCCTGCATGTTTGGGTGAGACCTCAGCCATGTTTCGGAGCTTTAAAGGCAACGCACTCGAAACAATAACAAGTGAAACCCAGCCCAGCCTCAGCACTAAACAACGGCAGGATTTCAGATCAATGCGCCGGCCGGTGCTTCGAGACCGGAGCTGCAGCTAATCCCGCAGTTATTCGGCAGCCTCTGTAGTCCGGGCACCGCGAATGTTTATAAACAATGTTATGAGAGCCTTAGCTTTATTGGAGGTGCTTGGTTAGGCTTCAGATGTTGATTGCTTATCGCCGTGCCTTGTTTATGCTCATCATCAAGTGCAGTTAAGCGCTTTGTAAACAAGTGGCAAATGTTTTCAGGCGTGTGACGAGCGAGATGACCATAGACGCAAGTGTTATTGCCATGTGAAACAAGCCAAAAATTCAGCGAATGAAGCCTATCACTTATCGGAGCTCATCCAAACTGTCATACCACAGCATTGAAAAGCCCCTCTTACATGACTTTGGTAGGAGAAGGCCTGACGATGACCGGCAACTTTTAAGAGAATGTTCTACGTTTATATGAAGGTTTTAGCTGAAAAACTGTCTTGAAGACCTTTTGATTCTGTTCATAATCCTACCCTCTTTAAGACCCAAGCCCCTCCAGTTTCTGACTACACGCCCGTGAAAATGGGGAAAGGCATATCGGGGATAGAATTTCAAAGTACCCTGGCATTCATGGCCTCATAATAACGTCACTCAAATGCCGCCATTCCATATGCCACGCGGCGATCCAGGCCGAAAGAAAAGATTGTCGAGGCGGTCATATCCGGCGTTCGTGGGCGTAATTCCAGATATAACGACAGTCGACTGACTGTCAGTCAGTGCTGTGCAAGGTACATAGCATAATCAAACCATGATGCATCGAGGAGCATATTAATTTGAAAGATAATTGTGCTGTCTAGATCAGTCTTTTTCACTTCAAAAGCATGGTAATAGTTTTATGTGTTTGTTTCATCATATCTGACGCCTGCTTCAATGTCTTCAAATATGAAACGTTGTGAAACACGAAACAAACAAACACGAAGTTAACGAACTCGGAATGGCTTGCGTTCTTGGTGGCTGTCCGTAAGGTACTAAAAACAAAATAAACAGCTTTAGCCGACATTTGCCAAACTAAGTTGTGCTCTTTGACAATGCAGATTTTGGGCTCCATATTTCTATTTACGCCGAGGCGTGCTGCATTCAAAGGTGGCTTCATATCACAAGGTAGCACAACGTTAATGAAAATAATAGAAATCACATTAAAAAGCCATACGGTAAAGACGGGGAAACAAGGATATACTTAAAGAAGCAAACATGCGCGTAAAAAACCATAGAGCATGAACCCGCATGGCGCGTACACGACATGCAAATCAGCCTTCAAATCCTCCGCCGCGCTGCATCGCCTCAGCGACCCGATCGATGCGTGGGAGCCATGGTCGCCGCTTCCTCTGCCGGGAGGGAGGCGCCCCACCTGGCCACGGGGCGGCAGGGCGGGGAAGGGGACGGGGAGGGGAGCGGGACGGGCCCAACCCGCCTGCACCGTGTTCCGCGAAGGTTGCCCGGCAATTTGTCAGACGACCGAGTGGCGCAGGACAGGCGAGCCGTAATGAGCGGCGCTGGCCGAACGGAGACAAGCGCCGCTATCGGCACAAATCCAGCCCCGGGCGCCTTGTTACCGGCGAGCAGCGGCCGCGCTGGACCGGGGTACCGGCGTCGTTCGCCGCAGCTCTGGAGGACGGAGCGGCAGCGCGGGGCGTGGCCAGGGCCGACGCTCCGGCGTCCGCCAGCGGCGAGTGAGCTTCCCACATGTCAATGACGTAAAGCGAGGGAGTGGTCACCGGATAAATGGAGTCGGACGCACGTGCTGTCGATTTGGAGGAGGAGGACGGCGGCAATTACCTGTGAAATCAGTGTCAGTCTGTTGAAGCTTAATGTTGGTTGGGAGTAAGTCATAACGGCACAATGGCACGCCATGGGCTGGCTTCAATCGATATATCACCGCGTTTAAGCTTTCGGCGTGCTCAAGTCAGTCGCACGTGCCGAGTTATTCAAAACAACCCGACGAATAGGCTGAGTCGCGATTTTACGACAGTCAGTTGGCAGCTGACACGGCAGTTTTCACTTCAGCTGCCAAAGCCGTGTCCGAACAGTGGCGCACCTCCGTGACCAGGTGACGGTCGAATGACGCCAGTTACCAAGGCGGCGCTGGCACCGATCGGCTTCGCCTGAATGCGCACTCAAACCTCTGCGTCACACCGGCACCCTCAATCAAGACCTTTCGGAAGCAGAGATCCTCCCGCCTGGCTGCCTGAGACACGCGCGTCACGACCGGCGCCAGTCTCCCGGCTGGAACATTTATCTCGTTGCTAGTTCCGAAGGGCAACGGTATAACGCCGTATCGACGA